TGTTGGGCGGTGCTCCTTGGACCACACGGCAAGAAGGAGAGCAAATCCCATTCTAAGTGGGATTGCTCTTGATTTGTTTCCTTGTTCATATTTAGTGATTTGTTTCCTTGTAGGAATAGAATTCCTTTTGTGTTTTGGTCTTTATCCTCTCCTATAAATAAAGGAGAAACTCCTTGTACTTAGGAGAACAATTCAATATACAGAATATTTTTTCCCTCTTATCAAATTCTACATTATCCTCACGTTGGACTTAAAGTTACATTGGTCTTTCTGTGATTACTTTTTTCCGTCAATTGTTTTATCTGATGTTTTCGTGCTACATCTACTCTTTAATTAATCATATTTTAATAAAATGATATGTTTAATCATATGTTTAATTTATGACATTATCCATTGAATGTGATTTTACTCTTTGGACTATCATTTGTAGGTTCGGGGGTCAATTCCTATATTATGGGATCAAATTGTTGACTTAACCTATAAGCCCAAGTTTGAGATAGTGAGATTTGATGAAGCAGTGAGTTGCACTATAGGTTTATCAATATATATAAATTCTATTACTGTGCTCAATGCTAATACTATCATTTATATGAAATATGCAGCCTCGGGTGGCTGAGCGGCACTTTTTAGATCTAAGGAAGAAATATGGAAATGTTATTGCCATTGATCTTGTGAATAGTGTAAGCTCTTTTACTTTTATCTCAAGCTGGTCATGTTGAGGTTGATAATTCGTCCACTCATGCATTATCAGAAAATTGAGTCGGGGTAAGAAGATGATAATGTTACCTTTTGTGTTTAAGATTTTTAACTAGGGGTCAAACAGGATAGAAAGGGAAATGGATGTTGAAATTCAAACATTAGGTTTGACTTTGTGATATTCGCACAAGTTGCATTCTTTTGAGTTTTGACAAAACAAACTAAACTAACAGATGAAAGAATCAGGAGATGTTGGATTCTTAATCTTACAAATTTCGTTGGATAATAGTTATTCAATCAATGGACTAGGTTAATTAACATGTGAGCTTTCACATGGTAAGTTGCTGGGCTGTTTGATCTATCTGCCAGTCTTATTCATTTTTAGATTGTATGTGCTTAGCCAATCTGCTAGTCTTATCCATCATCTCCGATGGAGCCAAAAATTCACTATTTTTTGGCTTTGGGGTGTGATGGAATAAAGCAAAGTGGATCTCTAAACTGTTTGTGTTTCTTTAATTAATGAAGACGCAGTTACTCAATCAATGCAACTTTGGACGCTGAGCCATGGGTCTCTTTGGAAATAGCCTCTCTACTTTCGAGTAGGGGTAAGGTCTGCGTACACACACCCTCCCCAGACCCTACTCTTGTGGGATTCAACTGGGTTGCTGTTGTTGTAGTTGTTTCTGTTGTGCTTAGCTAATCTTTTTCAACCACTTCCGTAGATTTTTAGTGTTGTACACTGCATGAGTGTCTATGGAGTATAAATGTAATTGACATTCTAAACAGCATGGAGGAGAGGGACGTCTTAGTGACAAGTTTTCAGATGCTATGCAGCACATTAATGATGAAGATGTGAGGTATGGTCTATTCTCCCAACAGCTTAATTATATGTCAATTTGCAATCCCTGCTAATTTCTAATGTCTTTGTAGATACTTGCACTTTGATTTTCATCAGAAGTGCGGGCATGTACATTTTGAGCGTCTCTCTGAACTTTATGATGAGATCGAGAATTTCCTCATTAATAACAGGTTTGGCTTATTCCCAAATAGAAACTAACATATATTTGCAACATTTTATTTTTATTGCAAGTGTTAGTTATAACTTCCAAGCCCACGGAAGTCTACATGAGCTACCAATTTGTTTTATAGTAACCACGTCACTGGGGGCCTTCTAAAAATGCAATGATACCACCTTTACAGCTGCTGTGTTTCCTTCATAGCAGTGTTGCAATTAAATTTTGTCATTTATTGTTTGAAATCAGCTATGTGTTATTCGTATGCAAATTTCACTCTAAATCTTAAGGCTATCTAACTTCACTCAATATTTCTTCGTTCATTCTATTTGGAAGGTACTTTTTACGAAATGAGAAGGGAGAGAAAGTTGAGGCACAACTTGGGGTTGTAAGGACAAATTGCATTGGTTGCTTGGATCGAACGAATGTCACTCAGGCATGTTCTCTACTTCCAAAATGCTGCAAATTGCTTTTATGTGTTCCACTCTGTTAAATAATTCTGCATTTTGTGTTTCCCCAAAATGGATGTAGTAGTTTCTGTAAGTAGTTTGACTCTAATAACAGTTTAAAAGGATCTCAACTCTATGAGTCGTTGTGTTCAGATATCCTGTCACATTCAGAAATTAAGTCCAGCCATTTCTCTTTGCATGATTTCATAGCCAATGAGCTGGATGAACTGCAGAGATACCAGTATTTCTGATTAATTATTCGGTGAATGCTAATGAAATTGATTTATTAAAAACGATCTATATGAAACCCATTCTGTTTCATATTTTTGCTTCGTTTGGAGTAATATATGGTGACATTTGTGTTATTCAACTTTTTTTAAGATGTTGGGATGAGTATTGACTTCAATTTTTCATCAGTGCCACCAACATATATACTGTTATGTACCCTGGGCTGTTATTCAGTGCACACTAGTCTTAAAAGCTTTTCTTCATACATTTTTTTGTGTTTGCAGAGCATGATTGGTAAAAAAATGTTAGAAATCCAACTGAGAAGGCTTTGCATTTTTAAAGCTGATGAAACGATTAGCACACACTCCAACCTTGATGAGAACTTCAAAATCTGTGAGTATTTTAGGAAACTTTAATGGTTCATCTTTTTTTACAGGGAATAGATGGTTTTCTCAGTTGGAGAAGAAACTCCATTATGTTTTCATTTTTACGCCCTTAAATCTCCTTTCTTTTCAACCTTCAAATCATATGTGCAGTGTGGGCTAATCATGGCGATGATATAAGCATCCAGTATTCTGGCACTCCTGCTTTAAAGGGTGATTTTGTCAGGTATCCATTTCTAATTCCTTTAAAAGCCTCGGGCATATTATATTTGATCGAGTTTCATTTTTTAGGTCTCAAGCGAAGACATTATTCAAAAGTATTAAACCTTCTAATTTCATGACTTGATGGCTTATTTATACCTTAATGGTAAACGTCATGGGTGTATTTGAACAATTACTTAATATTGATGGTATATCTTTACTCAAAACAGAGAGAGAGAGAGAGAGTCTAATTTGTACTTTATTTTAAAGAGTGTACTTGACCATGCTCCCTATATGAAGTTAGTACTCCATCCGTACCAAATTGAAGTTTACACATTTCTTTTATTGAATGTCTCAAAATGGAGTTTACACTTGTCCACTTTCTCTTTTAGGAAACGAATATGTGGCTTCTATAATTTCTCTTTTCTAAATAAAATTCATAAACTTCATTTGAGATGGAGGGGGCACATAATATATACTCCCTCTTCCCCATAAAAGGCTCCACATAAAATTGTCCCAAAAAGGTTATCCTTTCACACAATATCCCTCTCCACTTAAAATTCAACCACACACTTTCACCTTTATTAATAACCGTGCCAAGTCAATTGTGAAATCTTTTTATGGACGGAAGGAGTAATAAAGTATATTCCCTCCGTCCCATATCTTTCTTCCCAGAGCAGTATTCCAACTTCACGGGCATTTATATTTATTTGTGTTTTTTCATGGCCTATATGATAAAATAAAATATTCTTGTCACCACTTGTTTTGTTGAACTTTTGATGTAGTTTTTAAATATGTAAGTTTTATTTTTATTTCTATTCCAATATTTAAACAAAATAGATTGAAAAAACTTTGGATTTTCTTCGTTTTGCTCAACGGGAAGAAAGATATGGGACGGAGGGAGTGATTATTTATTACGGAGTACATTTTGACCGGCAATGAACCAATAATGCTATAACTGATTGACTGACACTTTTCAATGAACCAATAATGCTATAACTGATTGAACGACAAACACACTAAGCTTTTCTGGAAATGAGAGACATTTATAAAATACGGAGTATCGGGATTGAATTAAAGCCAAAGATTCTTTTACCTGCTTTATAGATTTAATATATACTCACCCTATTCTTATCCAAAGATGCTGCAATGGAAAGACATTCATGAAGCATGCCATCATTTACCTAATGGTTGAAATCATGATTAAGCTGGATGCCTGGATTAATAACTTGGAAAATGGATATACAGATACGGTCAGCGTACTGCCAAAGGGATATTTAATGATGGATGTAATGCTCTCATACGCTACTACTTGAACAATTTCTGCGATGGTACAAAACAGGTAGCTGGCTTCACATACACATGCGAGGAGGATTTTTGCTCATTTAGATCTAGTCGCATTGTCATTATGTATGCATGGGTTCTTTACATCGATAAATTTTGTGTTGTTTAAAAAAACTTTTTACTTCTTTTTTATAAGCAATCTTGAGTGATCTTGTTTGTACCTTGCTCTCGATTTATTATGTGTTTCTAGCTCTGTTAGCTGAGGCTTCACTATAGTTTCTTTGATTTAGTTTTAGTTTCAATCTAATAATGTGATTACAAATTGGCTACTATTATTGTTGTTATTATTATGTAATTTTTGGGGTACTGATATTCCATTTTTCCCACCAAAGGATGCCATTGACTTATTGCATGGACATTACATTATTTCTTTCTCACGGGACACGACACCTACATCTCAAAAAGGAAGTGTTGAGGCAGTTGCTGTAAGTATTTCATTGACACTCCTACATACTCTCTTTTTCATAATGAGTTTGTTCACTTGCTTTTTGGCACATGGACCAAGAATATAAAAACTACGAGGAACGAAGACCAAACTACCATTTATGATAGAATGTTTATGAGGCGGTGTTGATATGAGGGCAAAAGAGCCAATGTGACATTTATTACTTTGCCACAAACGGAAAGTGGCCAAACATGTTGGGATGGCCCAAAAAGAAGTGGACAAACACTTCAGGACGGGTGGAGTAGTTTTTGTTTCTACGATGTCATTTGCAAAATCTACCACTAGAGACCGTATAATAAATTTTCTTTTAAAAATTTCATTTGTGCTAACATCTAGTCCATACCGAACCAACCTAGACAAGCCCAGTAAATCCTGCTCAAGAGAAGGGTCTAGGTGGGGCAAGAGACGTACTCAAACGTTCTCTACTCCAAGACTGTTTGCGAGAAGACCCTTGACAAATCAGGGCCAACATCCATCCGTTTGTTAACCAAATTCTTCCCTACAAATCTCTAACTCACTCACCTAACAATGTGTTAATACGTTGCAGTCATTCCCAATGGCATTTGCGTTGATTACAGCTGGTTTGTTCTTCACCGTTATCTCACTAAGGCGAGGTAAAGTATCCTCTATCATTTCAAAAACATTTCAACCCCTCTTTCTTCTCTCTTTGTACTCACAAGCCTTACACATGATGTGCTGTTTACAGTTTCCAGTAATCCATGGAACCTATTGTTTTCAATGATTTGGGGAAGCATAAGTCTTCTAATAGCTGGATTTGTGAGGGCCAACGGTCGTGTATTCTGTAACAGGCCTCGCCTTCACCAACCAAGGCGCTGATCTTGAGGTTCATTCAGTCTGCTATATGTTATTATTCTTATATGTTTAGGCTCTGAGTTCTGACCTCGCTGCCCGCTATAACACAAGTGATTTTAGCTAATAGCCTTTTCCTATTCGATCTGATTTTGGTCTTTGTTAGGGTTCATACCCAATTTGGTATATACTCTCCAATCTGATTTTTGATAACTTCAGTCTCACTTGATACATCTGTAGGAGTTAATACCATATTGGGGGTCCCTTCACTATGCTATTCTCAATTTAGTGGTGCTTATACATATTTCCCTTTGATTAAAAGGAACATTGTTGTACGCTGAGGACTGAATTGGATCCAAATTATATTACATTAGAGGGCTAATTTTAGTATGAAATCGGGTTTAGATATAGTGAACGTGCAAACTTAGTCGGTTGTGTAAATCTAGGTCAATTTGCTGATGGGGAAATTGAATTGATTTCCATGTCAGCATTTTCATTGTTTTATCTTTTCTTTTTTTCCTTTTCCTTCTTTCTTACATATTGATGGGGGATGAAGAAGAAAAAAAAGAATCCAATGGGCGGTGGTACGAGGCAAAATATGGGAGATGTCGTAGGGTTCTTTTTGGCATTTTTAATTTTTTATGAAAGAAAATACTCCATCCGTCCCGTTATATTCGTCCACTTTTGACTTTTAGAAGTGTTCATCTAAGCATTTTGACTCATCAAATTCTCTCAATGTGTAAGCCTAAATATAGTCATATGTGATCTTGTTGATTTGTTTAACATATAGAATTTAATATATAATTTCTATAATTTTTTAATATACAAATTACAAGATAAAATAGATTAAAGAAGTGTATTGGATGGTGTGTAAAAATGAAAGTGGACAAATACTCTGAAACGTAGTAATAGGTTTAGGAGAAGAACATGGGACCATCAAAAAAAGGAGAAGATCATGGGAGGGGCGAAATGGATCAAACTAGGAAAGATAAACTAAATCAGGGGTAATAGATAATCACACTATTATCTTAATTTGGAGTCAAATTAATATTAAAACATAGACGCACCTCTAAAAATCTAAAATAATTTGGGATTCTTTATGGGGTTTTTAATATTGTGAAGAAGAATAAGATATCAAAAGAGAAGGGTGGATTTAGAAATTATGGGATAAACATCATATTAGTGTTAAGAGATGTGTGCACTCTTATCTTAATTCAAAGCTAAATTATGATATATATACGCATTCAATTACATAATTAGAATCTAAAGCTCAAACTTAAGAAAACTATTCCTAAAATATATGATTAAGATTTTGGTTAAAGTAGCATGACACTATTTTAATGGATTGCTCAAAGACTAAAACAAAGGATTTTTCATTATCAAAGTCTTGGATTACAAGGCCATATGGCCGAACTTATATACTCCGTAGGAAACAATGGAAAGACATTAAGCTAATACGGAGTAATACATACAATAAGACAAAGCAAGAGTGGATGGAAGCTTCCTAATTTTCACATGCCATTTGCTCTCATCTTGTCTTGATATGGAAAGTCTTCATGATTGAGCTCTCTTGACTTTACAAAGCCCATAATCTTTTGTGATTTAGTGGTGGAAATTCAGCATAAGGGGTAAAAAGAAGACAAACAGATGTTAATAAAAGAGTATTGACTTTTGTGGTACAATTATGACAAATTATCACTATTTAGTAAAAGATTTTCTTTCTCCTGACTTTTGGCCATTGTGTGGGAGATCATTTGGTGTCGAATTAGTGTGAAAAATGATTCACTTATGAATGATTATCAATAGCTAATTTTTGCCTCATGGGGTGAGAATTAGAGGTAAGACTTTTGTGGCACAAGAAGACAAGCTCATGCTATTCATTTTGTGTCCATTGTATGGGTAAATGATGTGGTCTTGCTTTGTATGAAAATGACTCATTCTTAAGAGATTATGAAAGGGGAAATTAGGCCATGTGATAAGAAAAGACAAGGAAAACACTAGGTGGCTAAATGGAAAACCTAAAAGAATAAAAATAGGAAACTAAGGTTTTATTTGTCTTCTTTAATCTTATTTTACGGCCAAGGCTCGAAATCATTAATAATCATCACCAATAACAAATAATCACCAATATTAATCATTTTGATTAATAATGATAATCATCATCAATAATCAATAAAGTACCCCCTCCGTCCGGAAATATTCTTCCCGTGTTGACTTGGCACGCTTATTAAGGAATAGTTAAAAAATGCAAAATTTTCAAAAATGCACATACTATAAACTTTTAAATCTCTTTTTATTATTAAAAAAGTACTAAAAAAGTAGATTAGTGATAAAATAGAAGGGTATTATTGAAATTTATTCTTAAAAAGCATACTAAAAAAGGAAATGGGAAGAATATTTCTGGACGGACCAAAAAGGAAAGTGGGAAGAATATTTCCGGACGGAGGGAGTATTATTATTATTATCACACAGATTTTGACTTCAAAGTCAAAATCAACTTGTGGGATACAATTAAAGAAAGTAGGGGTGTGTTCAAGCCGGGCAGGGAGGGAGGGTATACCGGGGATAGAAACCGTCAATTTTACGAATGAAGCACCGGAGCACCCCCGAATCATCCCATGACATGGGGTTAATGTAATGGGAACCCCACCTCACTAAATATTTGTAACAATAATAATAATTAATTATAACAATATTAATAAATATAACTATTAAACTTATAATGATAGTTATAATAATAATTAAAATAATAATTCTTAAAAATAAAAATTATTATTGTATTTTATTAATAATAACTATTAATAATAATTAATATGGAGTAATACTCCGTAAGAATTAATAATATATTATTATTATTAACTTAATAAAAATTTGAATTTGAATTCATTTCATTCAAATCAGATCAAACCGTTCAGATTAGATTCATTTTGATCAGATTAGCCGTAAAAAAATTAATTCAAATCAGCCGAAGAAAACACAACCTAAGTGCTAAGATAATTTCCATATTAATGCATCACAATTTTACCAAATTGCCCATAGATATTAATTACTCACAATTTTAGTGCATACGTGCATCCAACATTTAACTTTCATCACGAGAGAGAGAGAGAGAGAGGGGAGGGAGTTTTTTTTATTGACGCTTTAAGGTGCCCTGCACTCTTGTTTTTTTAAATTTTAATGCTTTCATGCATCCGCATTCGAAGTCGAACTCATTTTGTGTGACCTAGGGTCTTATTGTGGTGAAATATGGATTTCTATCTTGCCCAAAGATTAGCCCACCTGGAACTAAAAAGCTCCAAGTTACTCTTCTTGATGCATTCAATCTTTTCAAGAATTGCCACAACTTCTTCCATGGTTGGCCGGTTCTGGGGTTCAAGTTCAATGCACCTAAGAGTAAGCCGAGCAGCCTGCAATGCAGCCTCTGTGGAATATTGGCCTTCCATTCTGGGATCCATTACCCACTTCAGTTTCTTTTTCTTGCCCAGAAATGGCCTCTTCCACTCCACCAGATTCATTTGCGCGCCCCTTCGCCTTCTGTCCAGCACTCTTAACCCGGTCAACATCTCTAGCAACACCACTCCAAACCCGTACACGTCACTCTTGACGTATAGGTGGCCTGGTATAGGGGGAGAGGGGTATTTCAGTACTTCCACGGTGTTTAAGAAAACAAAAGTGACCCAAAGTGAGAAGTGTAAAAGTTCTTGTTGGGATGCCAGAATGGAAAGTGTTGAGTTCTTTTAGGGACAAATATAGACCAAACTCTCACCTGTTGCAACATATTCAGGAGCAGCAAAACCGTAGGTGCCAACTACTCTTGTTGTAACGTGTGTGTTACCAGAGGGCCCCAGTTTTGCAAACCCAAGATATGATATTTTTGCATTGTAATCCTACACAATTAAATTAAAGGAACACAGAAATTCAAACACTTCATCCACCATATAAATGGAGATAAACACACACACACACACACACTCGTGGGAAAGTGATTATCTTCTACTTTCACCACAACTAGAAGAAGTAATAAGTTAATAAAAACAACAACCCAGTAAATCCCACGAAATAGGGTCTGTGCAGGGTGTGTGTGTGTGTCCGCATACGTTACTCCTACTTGAAAGTAGAGTTGTTTCCAATAAACATCCAGCTCGAGCAACACAAAAAGCACATATCCCCAAAAAAGAAAAAAAGAAAAAGATCAAAGAGCAAACAAACCAAGGGCAAGAATAGTGCAAGGAGACAAAAGGCACACAAACAGCTGCAAGCAAAAGGACCCCAAGCTTAGAAAACACACAACGAAAAGATCAAAAGCTACGGCCCAGATCCATATGACTACCATAATCCCTAGAAGAAGTAAGAAGAGAATCTTATTTACCACATCAAGAAGAATTTTGGAAGGCGTGAAATCTCTGTAAATGATATGCTTCTCAGAAACATGCAGAAATGCCAGGCCACGGGCTGCTCCTATCGCAATCTTGAGCCGCAAGTCCCAAGAAAGTGGATCAACAGTAGAACCTCCTAAAAAAGTAAGGAAATTCCTGATTACAGAAGTGCTCATTTATTAGGCTCCATTTGGGTAGCCAGTTCTGGTTTATTATCATCTTTATATCAGCAAAAGAAGTTGGCAGAAAGAGTCTGTGTTTTAGGGGAAGTTTAAAAAAATAATGTTAATCCGATTTTTTTTAAAGTGTGGAAAATGAAAAAAACCATAAATCTTGTTGTTATAAGACAATAAGATATAATATGTTTTGATTGAAAATGTTGGAGAAGAGTGGAAAATGTTATCTGTAAACAAACGGATATCACTTTCCTCCAAATAAGACAAACTCAATTGTCTTTGACTTCAAAGTCATTTTCTGTTGGCTCCTATTTTCTGGAATAGCCAATCAACAGAAAATGGAGAAATGACTTCCGGAAGTCATTTCTCCCCTTCCCAAACGGATCCTAAAATTAATTTGTCTCATTACATACTTATAAAAAGGTGGTTTTCCAAGCTTCCCTTGGGCATGAATTCATAGACAAGCAGCAGTTCTTTATCTTCCCAACAGTACCCGATGAGCTTAACCAGATTAGGATGTGAAAGCCTGCCCAAGAAGTTCACTTCCAACTGCATTTCAAATGTTCAAACATATGTATAATACTATTAGAATATCCAATAAATAGCCTAAGAACACAAAGAGATCTGAACAGACAAAACCAAATGATAATCCATTGTGAGCGCAGAAGATAATCAATCCTGAAATGTGTTCGATAAGGTGACCAAATTAACTATTACTCCGTATGAAGTATATTTAACTAAACAACTATACAATGTCCATAAGTAATATAACTCAGTTAGCC